GTCTGCTCCAGGTAGGCGCGCATATAGATCTCCAGCTCCTGGCACGCTAACCCATATTGTTAGTGATGTGGTTTGGCTGATTCCCCTCCCGCTCTCCAATTGCGAATTCTTTTATACGCTCCCACAAACGGGACTTATTCTGAATTATACAAGTATTTGCTCTCAAAGAGAGGGGGGGGGGGGGGCTGTCTCATCAGCTGAATCGGGACACGACTCCCTGGTGAGACACGTTCAATGCCCCAGCCTACAATCTATTCATTTCTTCATTTAAGTACGTTTTAAACAGGCTTGGTTTACCAAACTAAGTCGGTTGGCAGAGCGATAAAAATAAAACAAAGAGCACCTTGATAATATGACAACAAATTGGTTTCTCTCCGAGCTTGGCTCACGTCTTTGCAAATCTGCAGGCTGCAACCCAAGTTACGGCGGGGGATGAAACACCTGCAACTGAATAGGGAGCCGCACTCCTGGTTGCAAGTAAATAGGAAGTAAAACAGCAAACGTTGACTACGAATGTATTCAACTGCCTGCCAAACGTCACGCAAAACATACGCACGTGCCGCGCTTAAAGGCACTGTTGATCCACTATCTGTACAGCGGAGCCGAGTGGATGTTACTGAGCTGGTTTGCGGTATCTAAGCTAAATACATTGGGAGAATCGTGACCTTGCCTTCGCCATCCACTTCATCAATTTTGGCACGCTTTCTTCCTTTTACCCTTCAGAACCTCCTAAGTATAGAATTTGGGGGGGGGGGGCAGCAATACCAGTCTAAAGTTTATTGAGACGGGTGCAGTTCGCGCCGCGGAGGGGCGAGGAACAAAATTCCCATAGATAAGACCAAGGTTAGTAGAGAAGGCTACGCGGACGTCATGTCACCATAGGACCAAAGTTTGGTAGCCCGCGGTGTGGTTTTTGGTTTATGCTTCGAAAAAGTTGGTGGACACTAGTCACGTGATTTAAAACGGAGATTTCGCCATTGAACTGGGTGGGAACCCTGCTCCACATTTTAATGTGGTATGCATAGATATTGTAAGTTTGCAACTGAAGCATTTCAAAGACAAACCAAAACTAGGATCTGATTCCAAAAATAAATCCGACTATAACAAGTTTTCTATTTGCAGCATCCGCGCCATACTCGTCCAGGCCAACGCGTGTGAACATCTATCTGTAATGCATTTTTATAAAACGAATGTTTACGTGTAAATGGATAAATAGCATGTGTAACGTTTGCATTAAATTAATTAATAAGCAATGATTGTGCAAATATATTTGTGCTGCAGTACCTATATGGAGTAAAATGTGAAAATAAGGTTATGTGAGGAGGGTAAGTGCCAAACATTTCACTGTTGCTGTGCTATGATCATCCTAGGTGTTGGTTAAATTACAGATTTATTATGTCGGATGAGTTAGATAAAAATGGTGCGGAGATATTAGTACCCCTACCGCCGTAAAATATACCTATTAGACTATTTTGGGGCTGACATAGGGACCTAGATTCTTTGACTGGCAGAAATGACAAACCTTGCCAGAAATCGGCCCTTTTTAGAGAAAAACTCTGCTTTATTGAATTTAAGTGGCGTGCGCTGTATTTAAGCACCCCGGGTTCACCACTCACTGTCCCTGCCCCCATAAGGGCAGGCCATCCCTGCATCCACCCTGACAACGCTCACCCAAGGCTACAGGAGGTGCGTTCCAACTTCTCAATGCGCGTCCCGGGGTGCTCCGAGCCCGTCTAGCCCGCCGTGTCTCATTTCCATCCCATGTTGTTGCTGTTGTTTTTACATGTTATACTCTTTTACACAGACTGTTTCTGAGCACTTCCGACCAGGGTTCTCCGAGATAAATCACTGGTGAATGGGTAACCCCATCTGTCTGTCGGGGGCTGGCTGGAAGCGCATTTCAGCAATAATGTTGTGGCTGTGATGGAAACCAGCGCAATTTCCCAGCTGAAAATGGCTCATTGAGTGTGACTGGTTGAAATAAATGGACTTACGGAAATATCTATTTTCAAACCAGCCCGCAAAGAACAGTGTTTTCACGCTGTCATAGCGTTGGTACCATATATGACATCACAGCATTGCTACCCAGAATGCAGCAATGCGGGGGCTTGGATAAAACAACAGTAGTATTAGCCTTATTCCTCGGAGAGAAAAAAAAAACAGGAGAATGGAGATATAGTTGGGTGAATATTTCGGCAGCATGGCCTCATGTAAACTATAGCAGAAGTGACTCCAAAATTCCGTGCCGGTGGTCCTACTCGATTTTTCAGTTTTTTTAAAGCAGGCCAAAGTTTTTACATGACACCAACGTTCAGGGGATTAAACAAAGAGCGATTGCCGGCTATTACCACGATACAGTGCCTTTCTAAGAATTAGAATGCGCGAACATACGCGCACATGTAAACAAATTCAAGCAAATGGGCATCACGCATCGCGCTTCATTCAAACATCCAAGCAAGTTGAAGTAAACAGACATCAAACATCGTCCATCAGTTATACATGCAAACGATTTCGATTCAACAAACATCGCACATCACACGTCAGGTATCACTTACACATGCTATCGGCTTTAGGCTAGCACATATCACACACAAAGGCACATATCACGTTCGCATAATCGGCCATGATGAGCCATGTATGTTACGATTTGGTCGCCGACTTTTTACAAGAATGGATTCACTTATCTTCCTGTCTGGGTGGTCCTTTGCTCTGTACATGACTACAGAGCCCATCCATCTACAGAGCACAGGACCACCCAGACAGGAAAATAAATGAATCCATTCTTATAAAAAGTCGGCGACCAGACTTTGACATACAGGCCTTGTCATGGCCGACTATGTGAACGTGATATGTGCCTTTATATGTGGTGTGTGCCGGCCTAAAATCGCTTATATGTGTAAAAGATGCATGACGAATAACGTGCGATGCCTGTTCAATTGAAATCGCTTGTATGTATAATTGATGAGCGACGTGTGATGCCTGTTTGTTTCAACTTGCTTGCATGCTTGAATGAAGTGTGATGCGTGATGCCCATTTCCTTGAATTCCTTTGCATGTACACGTATGCTTGCGCATTCTAATTCTTAGATAGCCACTGAATCGCTGTTATGGCTGGCAATCGCTCATTGTTTAATCCCCTGAATGTTGGTGTCCCGTAACAATGGTGGTTTGCTGTTTAGAAAAAAAAACAACTGAGAAATCGAGTAAGATCATCAGCAGGGAATTTTGGACTTACTTCTGCTATTGTTTCGATAAATGCATGTAGCCGAAATATCATAATATGCATATAGAAATATCATATCGAAATATCATATCGAAATATCAACCCAACTATATCTCGATTCTCCTGGTTTTCTCCGAGAAATAAGGCTTATACTACAGTGTCATCTAAGCGCGAGATAATTTTAAGGTCACAAACCGAGGCTACTAGAAAAGGCTACGCAGACGTGACGTCACCATGGGACTGAAATTTGGTAGCTGCAGTGTGGTTTTTGGTTGATACTATGAAAAGGTTGGTAGATACTAGTCAGGTGATCAAAAACGGAGATTTCGCCATTGAACTGTATGGCAACCCTGCTATACGCCTTTATTTTAATGTTCTGTGAACAGATGTTGTAATTTTGCATCTCGAAACGTCTGAAGACAACTCGATACTAGGATCTGATGCCAAAAATAAATCCTACTATACCACATTTTCTAGTCTCAGCACCCGCTCCATATTCGTCGAGGCCAACGCGCATAAATGTTTATATGTAGTGCGTTTTTGTAAAAGGAGTATTTACTTACTCTTATGATACTTGTCTTCTCGGAGTATTAAAGACAAGTTTCGTCTGTTTCAGAGTAATATGGACAATCAAATCAAACCGAATCGGACATCCACAGGACTGGGACGTGCCCAGGCCATAGCCGATATGGAGCTCTCACATCAGTAAAATTAGTCCACGGTGTGTTTGGATTTTTCTCTCGTGATTTCGGAGGTTTTTCCCAGTTAGCTTGGTTTCAATATAGTTGGTAGCTTTGCGAATACTGGACTGGATCAGTGCATTTCCATTCTGCGGAGTGTGTGTGTGCGTGTTTGTGGAGGGGATTTACTCAGGTGCGCGTTTCTCGGGCGCACAATTAAGCCTCCACACTTTCGGTATCACAGCCACCATTGACCTTAGTTTGTCCGTTCCGAAGCGTGCCCGTTGACATTATTTCGGATGATGAACGTGATCAGCCACAGCCAGGTCTGCGATGCCTTTCCTGGGGGTGACATGGTGCTGGGCGCCTGCGCCCGTGCTGGCCTTCGTTGCGCCTGGGTCCTGCAACCGTGCGAACCTTACCGATCGTCGACGGATCCGATCTGGTTTACCGACGATGAGCACGTATCTTTAAACGGTAAAGTCAACAGCCAAGGCTTTCGTCGGTGCGCCACCAACAGCGAGAAGGGCGCCGCCTGGCGCGCCATCAACAGTGATAAGCGCGTCGCCTGCTGCCCCGCCATCAACAGTAAAAAGGGCGCCGCCTGGTGCGCATTCAAGAGTGGGGAGGGTACCGTATGGTGCGCCTTCAACAGTAAGTTCTTCGGCGGCATTTAGTTTCAAGTCAGGAGAGAGGCTGCAGCGGCCGTAATGGTCAGACAGTGTGTGACGGCGGCGGTCGCTCTGTCGGAGGACACTCCCCGCCAGAGTGGACCCAGTTTCACGCGTCTGGAATACCCCCTCCACTGCACGGGCTCACGTGTTCAGCGGTCCACTGTTGTGCACAGGCGTCATGACTTAACAGTTGTAATGAGCTGCAATGATTATGCAGTAAAATGCATTAACTCCAATGAAATGTAATTAAAGTGCCACTCCGCAACCACTGACGCAGCCCACATTCCAGTGATCGCCAGCATTCGCGGCCTGGCAATTATGTTGTTTCTGTCATGGAGAACCAGCTTTCACCGCCGGCACCCCTCCCCTCAGCCGACCTCCCCCGCCATTCGTGAACTACTTCACCCGCTCGCTCGGGGCATCCCAACGGTACCCTGTTTGTACCGGGGCGACGCCTGACTACGGCCGGTCGGACCCCGGTGCGCGGCAGTGCACGCCTCTCCGGAGAGGACAGCCACCCGCGCGCCGGCCCAGAGAGCGCCGTGACGCTACCTGTCGCGCCGACACCAGCCGCTGGCCCCGCGTCGTCTGCGGAGGCCTGAGAAGAGACGGAGGTGCAGTGCTCCGGTCAGCGCCAGCGCCAGCAGCGGCAGCGGCCTGACGTCATGGCCGTCCCAGCAGCGCTCGTCCTGGTGAGGGTTCGACTGCTTGCAGCACACGTCGACGAGGCCCATGAGCCGGAATTACTAATCTAAGTGCTCTCGCCGTCGCTGTGTAAGCTACCGCTGCTGAGTAAGCCCAAGCACCGAAATCAAGCACATTTTCAAAAGAGTTCGATTCGATAATTAAGATGGAAAGGTGAGTTGACAGTAAACTATATGGCCTGTTGTATCTGCGTCAACACACCCCGAGTGGACGGTTGAGTACCCCTCACTCGGGTGGGGCGAGGAAAACTTGACCCCCTGATATTTAAAATTAACGTGCGAGAAACATGGAATTCACAGGGCGGTTGGCCTGTATGTGAAATCACTTCTGTCGAATTTCGAGGGTCCTAGATCATGTCCTTCGGGTCAAATAAGATCAGCGTCAAATTCCGGATTGGTGTTTAAAGTGACCCCAAACTTCCTCATGCAACCGCCGTAAACGTGGATCCCTATTTTGAGCGAAAGGTCACTGACACTCATTTATGTCAGGGATCTTTAATGACCTGCAAATGGTCGTGGTGAACAAAATTCTACGAAACTGTGTCGATTTTTGCATTTGAATAAACGTCCAGAAAGATACTAGGTGGTATATTGCTGAAAACAAAATGTTGACCTGGGTCATTTTAGGTTAGTGGTTTACTGTGGCCTTAAAGAAATCCATGAAGCATGTCTGTTGCGGTGTCTCTTATCAATAAACTCGAAATGAACACCAGAAAACACCTCATGCGTTATGCTCGCGAACAAAAAAGCAGGCTGGTGTAGGCGTCGGCATGACCCTCATGCCTAACCCAGGCCAATGAAATTTGTTGTAAGCCTAACTGAAGTTGTGTTATTGCCTAAGCAACTATTTCAAAGTTGCATAGCCTCGTCTAGCACCCTGTTGTCGCATCACATTTGAAGATCCTCTTAAAGTCGCCCTTTTTGAAAGCTATAACCTGACGTGCCATAGGTTAGCCACCTTACCAGGTACATGTTATGTTTTATGCCAAAAGGCCCGCTATTTAATTGCCGATAGTTGTGCCGTGCAGTTTGCAACTTAATTTGTAAAAAGCTTCGGGGGTCAGATTGCCCCCCACCCATGCGCGTGTTAACGCGATGCGGACTGGAAATAAATACAGGCTCCGTGTCCACGATATAGAGGAACACCGTCATCACCGGTCAACCGCGTCCACTGCTGTGCTAGGGACGCGGTTACCGTGCTCACCCTGCCGCCAGGGACTACACCTCCAAGTGACTATTGAGCCACTAAAATGAACGGTCTTCCTTCAACCCTTATCACCTATTCGCCCTCTAAACACTGGCTTTCCATGGCGTCAAATTTTGATAACATCCGTGGTTGATGCTTACTTCTAACGGGGCAATTAGCGCACATTCTAGGCACATACTTCGCCAAGCCCCAAACGAAACACACGAAACATTTAACGTTCCTACACTTGATGAGACCTGTGTAGAGTTCTTTATCATGAGTTCTAAGTTCTTACGTTGACAGTTATCTCCCTTCAATGTACCAAGAGGGACTGGTCAAACGGTGTTATCAACCAACCACCAGTTCTGGGGTCAATACGCGACGTTTCGAAGCTATGCTCATGGTTGCGAGTCTGAAATAGATATTGTGACGTACCACGACCATTTACAGCATAACTGATGCTTTGCTTCTAACAGAACTTTGACAGCAACAGATAGATAACAGGACTATAACAGGTAGAAGCAAAACCAAGACAGATACACAACATAACTACAACAGATGGATAACGGAACTATAACAGATCGATGACACACCAGATGACAGAACAAAACAATTTGCCATTTTTGAATGGAATATTTGGTTTGTCGTCTTTCCGACTACACCGGGATGGAATCCGCATTCAGAAGATCCCCACCGAAGGAATGTTCTGCGGATTTCCGGTGGTGTACCCAGGCCGGTACTTTGATAGGCGTGCATCAAAACTAGTAACCACCGACGTCACTAGCTCTCTCCTAACTTGATTTGTCACGAGACACTGTCGCCTTGGTATATTGTAGGCCTAATTTTTACATCGCATTGCACTGGTTGCCGCAATGACTTCGTTATAGTAATTTTGCTGTTACGCATTCACAGCACCATTTTACGCAAACCTTGCTACACAACAAGCACGTTGTATGGTCGTCCAAGCACCAGTCATCAACGTCCCTTCATCATAACGCAGTCATGTTGGATAAACTCTCATGTGTGCTCAATCTGAGCAACTCTGTTTTAGCCTACGCAAATGGCTTGTTCGTAGTTCCTGTGCGACGCAGCGTGCTATCAGCCCTCTCCAAGCCATTGATGAGTAAACGCTTAATGGCTCCGTTTGCGCCCAACGTTTGCGAGCTTCGCTTAGCGTGACCTGACCTGGCTTGACTTGTGATCAGCCGCTGCCCTCGTCACGAGCGGGGTGTGGTCACACCAGCCGAGTTTTGCTAACCTGACCTGACCTACCCCCAGGTGCTGCTCTTGTCACTGACGACGTGTGGCGATGCCAGCCGGGCCCAGTTCCGCCTGACGCTGGCCCCGCCGCTGTGCCCCTGCGCAAGCATCCAGTTCTGCTTGGGTGGCGCGTGTCTGCCGCGCATTCCAAACTGGTTCGGCTGTTTGGCGGACCGGATGTGTCTGTCGGGCCGGTGCCGGGGCGGTGTGTGCTGGACAGCGCCAACCACCACTACTACCACTACCACTACCACCACCACGCAGCGGCCAGACACCAGCGGAGGTGTGGGTTGTCCCACTCCGTCGTGTGGTGGACGTGGCAGTAGCTGCATGATACTTCCGAACGGATGCAGTGTGCCTGGGTACCCTAGCATATAATAAAGTTTGAAAAACGAGATACACAGAAACTTGTATCTTATATCTTATAGACCGGAGGAGAATACACCATTTTAAAGCGCTCTTCCTTGAGCGCAACTAATTTCTCCTATTTTTCCTTGATACTTTCCATGTCTGTGGAGAAGAACCCCCTTGGCTAGCTCTCTTTTCACTTTTCTGCAGCTTCGCACATGAACTCTTCATCAGTGTACACGCTTTCCCGTAGACGTGACTTCAAAAGTGAAAACAGGAGTTACTGCCAGGTTAGGACTGAAAGCTGGGTAATGCAACTCCTCAAATTAGATGGTTGTTGATGACCACCCACACTACTCGGGCCTTGTGAACAGGCAATAGGAATTATGACAAGAAAAGGACCCAACCCTGCGATTGCTCTTCTCATTGGAATAAAATAGACCCCAACTTTAGCTGTTTTTGCTCTGCGAAGGGACATGGGCCGGTTGTGCCGCCGCACGTGACGTCGCGCTGAATCCTGTATCAACAATGTGAGGTGGGTCGCAGGTGACATGTGCAAGCTGTCTAGCACCCACGGGTAACTCGGACACATTGCACGTGCATCACTTCACATCACATCTTCCACGCACTCAGCACATCGATGATGCATGATTCAGTTGTGGGCTCTGCTTGTCTCTTCTTTTTGCTGGCTTCCTTCAGCTGCACGATCAGGCTGGGGTAGCGATGCTCTGTGACTGCTCTTTTGCTGGCACCTAGAAGATTATGATGGCACACTGGACAGCCCAAAAGATGGTCACCATCAGTTCGCCTGCAGAGGCTTGGATGCCAAACGCCTTCGGAGTGGAATAGCAGCTGTGTTCCCTACGTGTTGTCGCGATTTGATTCGCGCTCCCAGTGGCGAAGTCATGTCTCATCCTTTGTTAACAGACGTAAAAAGAATTACACAGGGTAGAGAGAAGCTCATTACCCGCAAGTAGCGAGAAACTCATCACGCCATACTCTAATAAAAACTCTGAGACTGAGCTTGACAGCTCACGTTTTGCGACACCTCAATGCCAAACAATTGTTCATGTGGAGAATCATGGATGATAGTCCAAATGGAACCAAACGATAGACGAAGCTCACGGTCAAGACGTCCATGAGTTTGCTCTGTCTGTCTTGTAAGGTCGACGCTTTCACAGCTACCATTAGCCTGGGCGTCAGGCACGTGGCCAAAGTTTTCCGGGGAGGGAATTGTCAAATTTTCTCCTAAATACTGCGAATAATATACATTTATATATATATATATATATATATATATATATATATATATGTATATATATATATATCCTATTCCTAACCAAAACAATCAATTTGATTTCTAAAAATCGCCCATTTTCTAGTATAAAATGTTGGGCAAGGGGGAAGGGACGTGACCTTTACTGCTCCCTTTTTCTACGTCCCCTGTTGGGCGTTGTGGCCGCAGAGGGTTTTCTTGACCGCGGATCTTCTGCAAATGAGCGCCGTAAACGTACAAGATGGACCTGCCAGTAAGCTACCGTGGGTTAACGTTGGCCATTCATAATCTGTACATTGATCATTTGCTGGCGAATTTCTTTGCAATTTTGGCCTTCTTAGTTGGAAATTTACAACCGCTCTACGTTTTGAATTTGGATGCACGATCACAGCCGCGTACAGTAGTAAATACGGTGGTAAAAAGTGCAATGGCAGTGCGAGCCAGCTGTGCCATTGCACCATTTACCATCGCCATTGAACCATTGATATTGCACCATACAATTCCAACAGTACATCCTACCATTGTCATTGTGTCACCTGCCATTGTCATTACCAATGTCATTCCCATTTGCACAGTTTATCACAGTTCAGCAGCAGCTTGAACTGCAGGCGGATAAATGTGGGACCGCAGGAAAATGCATGCTTTTACCTCGCGGTGAAGAGAATGTGCTACGCTCTCCAAAACCCATTCTGCTCCAGCAATTTTTTGATCCATCCTCATAGACGGAGTCTTAAACACTAATCGATGAAAATCAGTCGCAATCCATGGCAAAATATCAATGTCACACCTGCCCGGTTTCTGTAGCCCTGGAACGGCGCCTTAGGCTTTTCAGCTGACCGGCTCTCCAGATCTCATGATGGAATGAAGAGAACGGTTGGCTGCCGCATGTCTGTGTAACAAGCGTAGTCCCAAGACCTTTGGTCGGCTCCCACCTACCTGGTCATTCCGCTGAACGGATGGGTACCGATGTCTAGTGCATCCAGACTATTCACATTTGTCGCACGAGCCACTCCCGACATTTTTATTTAACTTATGCATGGTTTTTCACTGCAAAAAGGATGTCTTTTACCACCTGCTTTTCAAAACTCCCAAGCAATGGCTAGTGGCATTGCTTGGTGAGGAATAGTGTGACCCCGCTAGTGTGAGGAATTCACTAATGTCATCCAGTGCGCTTTGACATAATCTTAGTGTCGTTGCAGTAAGAATTGAAATGCGCTCCCAAAATGATGTTTTAGTTGATAATTATGCGATGTCATGCTTACAATATGGGTAAAATTTATTTTCATGCGTCCCAGGAGAGATTCGTTTGGTTACATTGCAGCCGTCAACATCCGAGATCGGGTCCGCAAATGACCATCACCGATGTTGCTACTAGCGCAAAGTGCGCGCCATTATTTTGCCGATCTCTTGTTGTACAACCATGGCCGACGATACTTCACCCCGCGACATTTTATCTTGCAATTCACCTCACGGTGCGCGCAAATTGTTCGTTGCCTTCAAAGCAGTGAGCAAGAATTAAACATCACTCACCTCATGGAGGCATGCGTTTCAGTTTACGCCGGGCATTCCGCTTAACCATCAAGCCAGGCCAAACCACATTGCAAAAGATCCTGTGAGTCTCTGGCCGTTCAGCATGTCCCGGTGACACGTCGTCAACCCGGCACAGGCCGATGAGGTTACTTTACTCCGGCACCTTGTCATTTGTTTTTTGTTTTTTAAGATCGGGCGGAGCCATTTTTAGGACAAGGAACGTCCTCGTTTTAGCAAGCATTGACGTCGGCATTTTGACGGCAGAGGCAGCATGCTCAGGTAGATAAAGCATGCGAGGCAAGCTTTTTCGTTTTTGTTGTTGTAGAAATTATGTCAGACCCGGGCTGCTAGAGAAGATCGGAGTCGTAAAACTAGTTGCGGGTGTGGGCGAACGTGCCGTCTGTGTATCATGGGCCGACTACATCACTGCCCCCCCCCCCCCCCCACTCCCCCCCCCCCGAGTGTACTGGTAACAGACCAATAAGCAGCTACTCACCTTTTGCCAACGCGGCCTCAAATGCAACACGCTTAAGCGTGTTGCATTATGGCTTGCATTGTGGCCCCCAAGTGGCTTAAGCTAAGACAAAGCGGCGTTGAAATTGTTTTTGGGCACCGCTAGTTCACTGTGACCAATTTATAACAAATAAGCGTTTTTTTTACTTTTTCCTTGTTGTTGATTAAAGTTTTAGGGCGCGCCGACTGCTGTGGTCATTTTGCGCCCATAACAGCCAAATGACTACCTATATATATATATATATATATATATATATATATATATATATATTGGTCAGAAATAGAACGACTGAGTTGTGTAAGGAACGCGTCACCAATGATGTCCGAATGCGTGAACCCGTAATAACATATTGATGCGAAATTTTCGGCAATCTAAAAACTTCCTACACGCGGTATGAACTATTCAGGCAGGTGTATAAAAGTGCAGAACTTAACATGCGGTACGAACCTGAGGGTATGTTTGATGTATGGTGAGCCGTTACATAGTAAATCGAAGAGCGTCAGGGACGGCGCCGCAGGGCCAAAGTACCTCGACGCTCGAAGCGTAGTATGGGACAGCATACTGGCAAATGTTCCACTGTGAGAGTGGCGTTGCGGTGGCGACACCGTGGTAGAACGTCGCGATATAGTAAGCATCGATGTGTAGCATGAGCATGGGCAATCTGCAAGTGACACAGGATAACTTTCCCCCGATTAGACTTTCTATAGGATGACTACCATTCCTGAACCATCGGTTTAATGCTTCTTGGTTTACTGGTGCCCATCGCATCCCACGTGCTCTGTCATTCCCCCGCGCAAAAAGGCAGAGATGGCTTTCGATAGGATGACTGCCATTCCTGAACAATCGGCTTAATGCCTTTTGGTTTACTGGTGCCCATCGCATCCCATGTGCTCTGCCATTCCCAGCGCAAAAAGGCCAAGATGGCTGAGTGTAGGTTTGTAGCGGGTATTGGAAACGCTCTGCGACAGGGACGACGAGTAGCACGCTTTTCAGCAGCGTCAGCCAGATCATTTTCCGCAATGCCAACGTGGCTCGGAGTCCAGCAAAGTACTATGGTCTTGCCAGTCCGGTGCAGCGTGTCGAGACGCAGTAAAATATACTGTATAAGGGGATTTGCCGGACTTAAACACCTTAATGCCGAAAGGGCACTTAGGGAATCCGACAAAATCACGTGCAGACTGTCTTCGACCACCTCTATAAAGCAAAGCACCTTCATGATGGCCACAAGCTCTGCAGTATACACGTACGCATGGGCTGGCAGTGTAGATGATCGCGCATCGGGACCACTCACACAGGCGGCACCAACGCCTGTATCCGTTTTGGAGCCGTCTGTATACGTAATTGTGAATCCCCGAAATGTTTCGATATGTTTCAGAGCTGTTGATCTGGCAACACACGGAATCATATTTTGCTTCCGAACCTCCGACAATGAGGCGTCGAAAGTTGGCGATACTATCACCCACGGAGCGATCGGCAGGCTACATGGGCGTGCCACCCCGGCAAACTTGAGCCACTCTCATGAAGAACATTACGAACACGCACACACAACGGCGCCACACGTGCTGCTTGTCCGTTCCGAAAAAAAAACATTCGATGTGTGGCGTGATGACACAGCGTCACGTGTTGGGTGGTTCGAGAACTGCGCGAGCTTGCAAGCGTACCGCATCCCCAACAACTTCCTTCGGGTAGCCAGCGAAGGTTCGTTGGCTTCCATAAGCAAGCTGGCTGTCGGAGACGCACGAAATGCACCACTAATGATCCTCAACGCAGCATGATGGACCGCATTCAACGTACGTTTTACGGACTCAGAGGCGCCATCATATACAAAACCCGCATAGTCCAGCTTGGAGCTGATCAGTGAATGGTATAACAATAAAAGTGTTTTCCGATCTGCTCCGTAGGATGTTTGTGCCACGCGTTTCAGTATGTTCAGGGTCCTAAAACACTTGTCACGCAGAATGATAAGACGCTCATTGTAGGTCAAACCCTTATCAGAATGTAACCCCAAAAACCGTGCCGCCGTATTGCAGGAGATCGGCTGTCCATAAAGCTTAAGCACCATGTCAGGACACTGACGTAGGCGTCGACAAAAGTGGACGGAGACTGTCTCCGAGGTCGAAAACCTTAACCCG